GTGGGCCCTGCTAGTCACCAGGAGATGTTACAACACCTGTGGCTGTGGAAACAATCCCCTGATGGCCAGGGGAGGGCCAGCAGGTGGGCCAGGTGGTGTGGTGGATGATGTCTACCTGTGCTTAGCACCAGAACCCTTATGAGGCTTGTACACTATGACTGCCTTATTGTAACCTCAGGGTCTACCCCTATGAATGGTGGGAGTTCATTTGTTATGAAAACAGATTATGTAGGGAGAGAAGAGAGCAGGAACAGGTAAGGCCAGTGTCCAAGTTGTTAGAAAAGCTGCTTTTCTGGACTAGCCTTAAGGTGCCCACCTGCTTTATTCTCTTGAGGTTTAGAACCAAGCTAGTAAATTTGATGTTCTATGTGCATGTGTGTGCAGGTGTGTGTGTAGAGGAGACCATCCCTGCTCTCAAGCGACTCTTTTCTAATGAGGCACATGCCGTGCCCTGTCTGAGGTTGTTAGGGTAGAACTGTGCCCATGGCCCAGGGCCCGTTGGCAGGGGCAAGTCCCTCTGGTCTGCCTCTGGCAGTGGGTGGAGAGGTGGTCCACCCACGAGGCCCCTTTGGAGGCCCCTGGTGATCATCCGGAGGCCTGGTCATTGAGGGGAACTGTCCTACTTACTGCACCATGCATATTATTTCATGTTGAAGGAGCCTTCAGACACCGGCTTTGACCAAGGACAATTTCTGCAGGCCATCCAAGAAGTCCGGCAAAAGGAGCAGAATGTTCTCAAAATAGAGCTTCCACCAGAAAGAGAAAACAAAACAAAACGGAGGGGGGAAAATGGCAAATAGTATGCTTCCATCTGCATTCAACTCCATAGTTCTTTCTTTGGATGTGGATAGCATTTTCCATCATGAGACCTTTGGAAATGTCTTAGATCCTTGCACTGCTGACAAGGGCTAAGTCTATCAATGATATTTATCATCGCACAATGTGGTTGTTATTGTATACAAAGTTCTCCTGGTTCTGCTCACTTCACTCAACATGAGTCCTTGCAAGTCTTTCCAGGTTTTACTGAAGTCCATGGGGCTTCAGTTTCATCCACTCTAGCACACAAGCTATGATGCTCTTGACACTGTGAATTAGCAGTTAGGAAATGTTGGGCAGCCTTGGAGGACCTTGTTGAGGAAGGGAGATATAGAGAAGTCATCACGATCATTTCAGATTCTTCAGAGAGGAATGGTGTAGAATCTGGAGATCTTTGGAGTGGCTTTTCAAGCTGAACAGAAATCAAAATGGGGTGTGTGTGTGTGTGTGTGTGTGTGTGCGCGTGTGCGTGTGCGCACGCGTACGTGCGTGCTGCACACACTACGGCAGCCACAAAAGCCTGTCATCTGTGGCTGATTTAAGAGAGGCTCACACTGTGCTGTGCTGGGTTCAGCCACAGCTGGGAGTCTTTTGTTCAGTCCTAGACACTCTTTCAGGCAGAACCACAGGGTGGGACCAGGAGAAATCAGAAATTATAGGCTAGCATAAGACAGCAAAGAAAAGGCCAGACCTGGACAGAAAAGATGGGAAAAGAAGAAAGGCCTGGCCAGGCCTGGACAGTTAGCAGTAACAAACATTGTTGTGAGATCAGAACCTCGAGCACTGTGGGGGTTTGTGGGAGTTGCAAATGTATGCCAGAGCAGGGTCATGGGCTAAGGTGAAGGTTCCAGATTTGAGGGAACAGGGAGCAGCAGAGTTGAGGCATTTCTAAAGGCTGTGAAGCCAGGAGAGAGTCCACCTGCTGCTCAGTGGGCTCCTCTAAACCGACTATGGGTTGGTTTTTAAGGTTGGCACCACCAGAGCACCCCAGAGTGTTGAACAGAGCCAGTGGGGTGAGAAGGTGGCAGTGTGGGCAGCCATGGGTCAGTTCTCTTGCTCTGGCACAACAGGGAAAGGAAGGATAAGAAGAGACATGGTAATGGTCCTGAGGAGTCATAAAGAACAGAGTTGAGTGAGGGCCCAGTGGCCAGGGCTGCTATGCCATGGCATGGCCTGCCTGTGCCAGGGCCAATACTGGCTCTTATTCTCAGGGAGTTAGATGGGGAGCTTTGCACTGTGTGCTCTTGGGTTTCCTTTTGCTAAAGTGAAACCATGTTGGTCCCTGTTCTTCACACATATCCCAGCTGGAAAATGAAGAGCGAGGTCTCAAGGCAGCCCTGGACATGTTGCAGGGCAAGAAGCAGAAAGCAATAGAGCTGCAGGCCCTTATGTAAAAGAAGCAGAAGCAGAGTCTGGAGAAGGACCAGCTGAGGTCCAGGACCATCGAGGGGGGTGCACATGTTAAGCCTGTAGGGAAGCTGTGTCGCCCTTTCCCAGAGGTGGACCCTGGACATCTAAGGGTGGACAGAGCAGGGGGAAAGCTCAGGGCAGTTGGTGAGTGTAGACTTGGAGCAGCTGTAGCGTTTACTAGTGTGTGTAGCTGTGACCGATTGTGGAAGGAGGCCCAGGCAAGGCCAGGATGCAACTGTGGCCCTTCTCCCCACGCAGGAGCTCCCCAAGCACTGCAGCCAGAACTGGCAGCTGGTGGCCAGCCCACAGCACAAGTCAGCCAAGAAGAGCAAGCTGAAGAAAGACCCTAGACGGGGTACTGGCACTGCAGGTGCTTCAGTGCCTGGAGCACAACCAGGTCTGGGAGTTCCAGAGGGTAATGAAGGCTGAGAGGTTTCGCTCAGCTGAGCTCAGGGATGCCCTGAACCAGAAGCGCCAGGTCACTGAGCAGCTCAGCAATGAGTTTTGTTTCATGTTGAAGGAGCCTTCAGACCCAGGCTTTGACCAGGGAGAATTTCTGTAGGACATCCAAGAAGTCCTGGAAAAGGAACAGAATATGTTCAAAATAGAGCTCCAGTCCAAGCTGTGCAGTCTGAAGTTGAGAGAGGAAAGGTCCCTGCTGGAAAAGCTGGAGGACGTCATCCAGGAGCAGGTAAGGAGGGTGGCAGGCAGGCTCCCCTCCTCCCTTCCTTATGGCCTCACCTGATAGAAAGGCATGCCAGCAAGACTCTTCCTGGGTCTTGAAGACAGTGTCCCAGTGGCACTTAATGTGCCCTGCCTCTTCTCCTAGGGAAAGCTGCAGAAGAGAACCTTGGAGAATCTGAATCTTAGTGATCCAAGCAGTCTGTTGTCTGAGATCCATGGCCTGTATGCCCAGTTCCAGATGACCCATGTCCAGAATGAGGAGAAGCTACAGGAGCTTTACAAGGCCCTCACCAGGGTCAAAGACTAAGGCAGCAAGCAGGAGTACCAGTTTTGGAGACAAGATGAGGGAGTGGGGCACAGGTATGACCACCACACAGGCCATGCCTGCCAAGCTGGCTGTACCTGCATGATGTAACCAGGCTGCTCTGCTCCCTGCCCCCTGCTTTTCTCCACTTGAGTTGCTGGAGTATAAAGTCCAGCAGGAGAAATGCAGAGCACATTATTTGCAGAAGACTCTCACCAAAGAACAAGAAAAGGGGATAGAAAACCAGGAGCTTCTGCTGGCATTGCAGAACATGGCCCAGAAACTCAAGTCTGAACTTGAGTTACAGAAGCAGTAGAAGAAGACCCTTTCCCAGTATCTGAGGGAAGACCAGAAGGAGGCTTCCCAACTGAGGTACAGGAGTGTATAGGGGTGTATGGCTGGGGAAAGGCCCTGGAGGACTCATCCTATGCCTTGTGCTCTCTGCCACCATATCCAGGGTCGAACTTGCCATGAGGGCCTGTGGCCCCTCTTGTCTCCAGTGCTTTCCAGGAAGTGGGCCCTTGCTCAGCTGGTGGCTTACGAGTGTGTAGTGCCCAGAGCAGAGCTCAGGCCTGAGCTCCTGAGGCAAGCAGGAGAAAGATAGCCCCATGCCAGGACCTTATGCCTCTCTGAAGACACTGAGGTCCTAGGCCTAGAAGGCTCCCTCGCATCAACTTGTTGATGCCTGTAGCTAATAAAGTATGGCCGAAAGGTTGTCTGCCTCCACATCTCTGCATAATCCTTCATTACTAGTCAGGTAGTAGTTCATGGATAAGCACCCATTAAGCACCTTCTGTGCACCAAGTGCTGGGGATGAAAAGAGAGGGTAAAAAAGCCCCTGCCCTTGAGAAGCTCACAGTCTGATGGAGCTGCTGTTCCCAAAGTTGAAACCTCCCATGGCTAAGGAGAGATCCTTGAAAGAGAGAAAAGATAGAACAGGAAGAGACCCCACCAGTTTATGGGGTGGCACGATGCTCTCTGTGCCAATAATGAAATAAAACTATAGAATTAAACAATAGTCTTTGTGTTGAGGAAGAGTTAAGCCATCTGTAGGATCCTATGTGGGGCTGTTGACAAAAGCAGACTGGGGGCAGCTCGGGGCAGCCTCACACCTACTGCTACTAGCCCCTGAAACATGCAGAAGACTGGGAGCCCTGTGCTGGCTTCTGGAACCACTGGCCAGCCTTGTGGTATGAACCACTGCCTTCCCTCCTGATGGCAAGAGGCAGAAAGGACAGCAATACCACTGTGGGCATCAGTGTTTCAAGGCCAATCCCCACTTCCAAGCTGGGGTTGCAGTGACTATCACCCTGGGCACCTGGGGAGGCACCCAGGAATGAAGCCCTTAGCTTTGCTATCTGATGAAAAAGAACGATGAAATAGATCTATGTATACATACAAACATATACATATATATATGATACAATTGATCAGCAGGCCCAAAAAAATTGCCCTCCTCCCATCTGAGCCTTAGCTCCGAGACCCTCCCACACCCCCCAACCCCTCACACCCACCATGCTGCAACCCCCTCTCCCCCAACCCTGTCCCAACAAACTTAACAACTGCCCATGTACTAACCATGTCCAAAAGGAACTAGAATCAGAGCTCAGAGAAAGAACCTGATGAACCTTCAATGCCCGGTTTCCCTCCAGAGGCACCTGGGGCATGTCACGTCTGACCCGGGCTGGGCCCTTCAGGCACGTCTCCTTCCCTGGGAGCTAGGCTTCGGACGTCTCCGGACCCACCCTGGGGGAAAGGTGGGCTCAAGGACCAGACAGGACGCGAGTGTGGTGTATGCTCTTTATTGTGGAGGATCCCCCGATCCTTTGTTCTCAGCCCGTTATATAATCTGAGGGCGGGTCATGAAGGCTACAAGGATCCACCCCGAAGGCGGTGCCAACAACCCATTAGCGGAGCCTCCCCAGCACCTCATCCGGGATTGCACGTAGCTCACTGCTGAGCCCGCAAGCTATCCCAGAAGAGGCGGGTCCCAACTCCTGGGGTGTCACCTCTCCATTCAGGTGTCCCCTGCCAGCCCCCAATCACCTTTACCTCTCCATTCCGACATCTCTTACCAGCCCCCAACAATCTCCCCCTTTTTGTTTAAAGAGGATGGGTGCTGTTAGCATTACGGAATTCTGCCTTAAGGGCTGCGAGGGATCTTTTGAGAAGAGAAAGAAAACAAGAAATAAGGCATGGGAGGAAAACACATAACAAAAAACCCCCTACAAGTACAAGAGCACCATGGAGGATCCATTGGAGGACATTTTGGTATTGAAAATCGTCCCACCATTTAACCGTTTTGGAGATTGAGTCCTCCCAATCTTGGGAAAAGCGCAGGGTAGCATTCTCTATGGCCATGATGATCAAATCCAGCTGCTGAAGCTCGGTAGCAAAGGCAACGCCTGTGGTGGCGTTGCGTAGAATGTCCTCCAAATCATTATACATGGTTGAATTATAAGGGATAGGGGTTACACAAACAGGGCGATATTTATAATGACATGACAAGCGCATATAACGCAGCATAAAAGCTTGTTGATGTAACAATACTTGCACAGTAGCAGAAAGGGTAGTGATTTGTCGTTCCAAGAGACGGTCGAGTGTCTCTTGATGTTTCCAGGCTTGACTTTCTAAATGCATGAAATGCTGCAAGGACTCTGCTAAGAAAGTGACTTGTTTATGTAATTGCATTATTTGTGTCTCTTCTATAATTGAAAGGGCTAGCGCAGCTACTGCCACGATGTCAGTGGGATCAATATCCCGTTTAACCAGTTTACGTAGGAGAGAATCCGATAAAGACAATGCGAATGGATCGGCTCTCACAGGGTGAAGAGTAAAGGGGGGTACACATAAAAGCAGGACGATAAAAGAGGTATGGGAGGTGTTAAGAGTGTTAGTCAAGGTAGCATTAGTACAGTGTATAGTGTAACCGGTTTTGTTATTTGCCTGGGGCACGATTGAAATGGTAAAGTTCCCTGGAGGGCACAAAAGGAAAAGAGCATCAGGTGTCGTTTGTGCCTCGGCTGTAAAAGTATAACAAAGAATGTCAGTAGTTGTGGTAGCATTCGTCTCATGACAAGTACTATTTTTGTTCCCAAAAATCTTATGCCATGTTGCAAAAGGAAATCCGTGCTGTACTTTGGCAGCGGTCTGATTGTAGCGGACAAAGGTAGGATGAAGAGCAAGACCTGCCTTCCACCAATGACTTTGCAAGGGTGCCTTCTCTTTAAAGGGGATGGGTGCAGGAAGTATAGAAGTTTGTGGATAATTATCGGCAAACCATATAGATTCGTTAGTATTGTTCAACCTACTAAAGTTTCCTGTACTACAAGCATGAAGGGGTTCGAATATATGAGGGGCGGTAAGTGGACAAGGGGTAGCGAAGTAGTAACAGTATGGTTATTACTGAAATTGCGAATCAAAGAGGCGAGAGTTATGTTTAAGGAACCATAAGTAGCATTCAATAACTCTGATTCTAGAAAGGAAGGTTGGGAAATAGACCAATTTGAAAGAGGATAGCACAGTTGAGAAATGCTGCTATTCGAGATATTTGAAGGGGATAAGCACAGAGGCAACGCCGCAGAAGTCCAAGTAACGTTCATTCCAGTTTCGGAGATAATAGGAACCGCCAGTCCCAAGTCACCCGTTAACCAAGATGCGTTGCCAAAGAGGAAAAGTGGGCTTGCCTCGTGATTCCACGTCATGAGTTGAAAAATGGGCAGATGTGGTGTTAGTGCCCAGTACATAGGTGTCTCTGTCTCCAATGAGACCCAGGTAGTGTTAAATTGGTGTAGGTTGATCACAGGGGTTGGACATTCCCAAACGACCAGCAAAAGAGAGAGCCATATTTCAGGCCTCATTATCCCTCCCGTGCCTGTGGAAAGAAAATAACCGGAGTGGAAACGCAAGAAGGTTCGTTTCTATATCTCCTCTGGCAGCGCACATGGCAGTCCCCGCGGCGCCCCCTCTTGCGTCTCCTCCTCCTGGTACGCCTGTTCTTCTTTTTTCTCAAGTTCTCTGGCCCACCGGACAGGGATCCATCTTCCTTTACCATTGTCCTTTTCATTCTGTGGAGACACAAAGAGATAACCCTTCCCCCGGATAGTTACTCTATCTGGACCATGCCACACACCCTCAGGGTCTCTCCACATAACAGAAGCGCCTTGCTCCAGCAGCTCCTGCCGTGGGGTCAAAGACGGTGCGTGCACACCGGTATCACATGGGCGAAAAAACCTCTCAGCTCGGGTTAGGCCATCATCAGTCACTTGTAAGAAATTTAAAGTGAATAAAACCTGATCAAGGAGGGTCTTGGTAAGTCTGCCTGGGACTCCCCCTTTCTGTTTAACAAGAAGCTGCTTCAAAGTTTGGTGGGCTCGTTCGACAATGGCCTGTCCGGTGGGATTATGGGGAATGCCAGTCACGTGCCGTATGCCGAATTCGGCAAGGAAAGTCGCGAGAGAGCGCGAGCGATAAGCGGGGCCATTGTCCGTTTTAATTGTGTGGGGGAGACCGGCTAGGGAAAAACAATATAGTAGATGAGCACGAACACTTGAGACATTTTCACGAGGTTGAATGGAGACCATAAGGAAGCCGGAATAAGTGTCTATTGACACATGAATAAAGGTAGTTTGAAAATGGGTCACATCCATTTGCCACAAGGCATTAGGTGCTTGACCACGGGGATTGTAAGTCGGTATAGGGGGTGGTGGTCGAAAAGGAGCACAATTAGGGCAAGCTCTCACAATCTGTCTGGCTTGCTCTCGGGGAATACCAAACATCGTTCTTAAAGTACGAGCAGAAAGGTGTAATTTCTGATGAGCCGTGTAGGGTGTCATAAAGAATACATCAGTAGGGGCTTGTTGTAAAGCCGCATCCGCTACGGCATTGCCCTGATATAAAGGCCCATATGGGCCTATATGAGAGCGGACATGAAGTATATAAATCGGTGTAGTTCGGCTCAGCAGATGTTGCTGCAGTCGTTGAAAGAGTGGAAGGACGGACGAAGGTGACCGTGCCAAGGCAGCATCTGGTAAATGCTGGAGTGCATGATAACAGTACATACTATCTGTGATAAGATTAAAAGATTCTGTTGCTAAGAATTCACAAGCGCTAATAATGGCTGCTAATTCATTCTGTTGAGCAGAATTGTAGGGGGTAGCATACACTTGTAAAACCTTCCTTTCTGGGATGTAAAAGGCTGCTTTTAGGTGTTTTGTGGCGTCTGTGAACACATTTGGTCCCTGCACTGGTTCTGTAGCAATTATAGTGCTAGGACGTTGAAGGGGAACAGCTTGCCACAGACGTAAAGCTGGGGGTAACGTTAACGGTAGGATGGTGTGGGTAACAAGTAAGACCGCCCAAGTTTCGCTAGTCAAAGCGAGCTCCTGTAGCACCTGAGGGGTTATATTAAGAGTTATAAGAGGTTCCTTACCGCTAATTCTTCGTGCCGTGGCACTTGCTTTTAGCAGTAAGCGAGCTTGAGTTTCTATTCTATTAGGGAGTGCTTTCTTATCTCTATCTGGATAGACCCACATAAGCGGACCGTGCTGTTGATAGATCACTGCCAACATGCCTTTATATTCATCTTGTAAGAGAGTGACGTAGAGGGGAGTTTGCAAATCTCTACGTTGTACTTGCTGTTTACACTGATGCTGAATATATTGTATTGCTTCGAGGGCGCTCGTGGTCCATTGTCTGGGAGAAGTTAGAGCAGAGGGCCCTTTAAGACAATCATAAAGTGGCTGCATGATAGTATCTGAGATAGGAATCACTCCTCGAAGCCACTGTATAGCACCAATTAATCTTTGAAAATCATTGAGTGTCTTTACTTTGGAGGTATCTATTTGAGGCCATGGACGATAAATGGCAGTCTCAGTCACTCGGTGGCCTAGGTATGAGACTGGGTCGCCCTTTTGTATTTTCTCAGGAGCCACTTCTAAGCCTACTCGCTCTAGCATTCCTAGGCATTTGGTGGTAGCTTTGACAACAACCCTCGTGACTGTTTAAGTCCTTCTTTGAAAAGCTGTATCAGCAGCTTTTGGGCAACATCTCCTGCTCCATATCTCTTTTCCACAACCTCTTGTGCTCGGGACGCGAATTCCATGGCACTTTCTTTTGGCCTTTGCACGAGTTTGTTTAAAGGAGGTTGCGATTTCTCCCCTAGTCTATCCAATGCTTTTAGCGCCACTATCTGGGCACCTTGTATAACAAGGTCTGGGAGTAAAAGCTGTGCCTGCAGCCCAGCATGCTGGCCATACCCAGTTAGCATATTAATGGTATCTTCTACATTCTGAGGGAAATTAACCTCCGCCCAGGCCCTAGACTCTCGGCGTCTATACGCCGACCAGGCGGTGTAAGCAGCACTCTCCAATACAGCAGACATAATTTCATCCCAATCCCCTGGGGTCCAAGCGGCCACAGCCACAGTAGATTGCAACAGCTGCTTAACATAAGAAGAGCCTGCTCCATATACTTTTACTGCCTCTTTCAAATCTTTCATGAACTTATAGGGCACTGGTCGGTGAGACCGACCACCTCCTCCGGGACCTCCCTGGACAAAAATCGGGAATTCCTGTCCCCACTCTTTCCAGTCTACTACCTGCCCGTCCCTAGCGGCCTCTCGCAATGAGTGCTGTAAAAGTGAGGCCTGCGGGGTCTGTTCATTCTTCCCTCTTTTATCAAGCCGCATTTGGTTTATTTGGGTCTGTAGTTGCTGTATCTGCATTTCTAACTGTGCCACAGGCGGAACTTCCTCTTTCTGGAATTCTAACTGCGCCACAGGCAGAACTTCCTCTTTCTGCTGCCAACGTGGCACATACGGGGGGAGCGGCTCCGGAGGGAGCGGCTCCAGACTCGGCCATGGTGCGGACGGGATTTCAGGGGGCTTAGGGGGGTCAGGCCATGGCTCTTCTTGACCCTCAAGGTCTTGTTTCCCTCCTAATAAGGATGTTCCTACCTGTGTCTCCTCCGCTACTATTACCGGCGGAGGGCGCGGAGAGAGGGCAAAAGTCACAATGCCATAAAGAGTAAAATCCTCTGGTTTTAAGAACCCTGGTTCTGTCTCTGCGTAGGAAGACATCTGACTCCCAACTATTTTCCATCTTTGATAATCAACCCCTTGGCTCTGTAACCACGGGGACACCACTATAAGTTTTTCTACCCACTCCTGACAGCGTCTCAGCTGTATTTTTACCCCATTATCCCTACAAAGTTTATACACTTGTAGGACTAGCACTCGCTTATCCTCCGGTTTAATTTCTTTACTGTATCGTGCTCCCATCTTTCCCTCTATGCAGCCCCGATCTGCATAGGCTGTCGGTCCCTTCCTCTCTTTCACTGGAGAGAGGGTACTTACCCATACCTGGCGGGGTCGCCGAAGAGGAACTCAAGTCCCTGTTCGGGCGCCACTTGACCCGGGCTGGGCCCTTCAGGCACGTCTCCTTCCCTGGGAGCTAGGCTTCGGACGTCTCCGGACCCACCCTGGGGGAAAGGTGGGCTCAAGGACCAGACAGGACGCGAGTGTGGTGTATGCTCTTTATTGTGGAGGATCCCCCAATCTTTTGTTCTCAGCCCGTTATATAATCTGAGGGCAGGTCATGAAGGCTACAAGGATCCACCCCGAAGGCGGTGCCAACAACCCATTAGCGGAGCCTCCCCAGCACCTCATCCGGGATTGCCACGTAGCTCACTGCTGAGCCCGCAAGCTATCCCAGAAGAGGCGGGTCCCAACTCCTGGGGTGTCACCTCTCCATTCAGGTGTCCCCTGCCAGCCCCCAATCACCTTTACCTCTCCATTCCGACATCTCTTACCAGCCCCCAACACACGTCCACCCCAGGGATAGAGGGCAGCATCAACTCTACACCAGCCCTAAACAGGAAGGGCCACCAATCTCAACAGGGTCCTGGCCAGTCTTCTGCCCACCATACCCACAACTACATAAGCTGATAGTCCCAAAGGAGAGAGCCCAGTGACTGAGCTCCAGGTGAGGAGTTGGATGAAACCATGACTAGAATGGAGAAGTAGGGTCTCTAGACCCTTGAGGGGCAGGCAGGAGAAACCTGGTACCAGCAGCATGAGGGAAGGCCCTCTCCCTATGGCTCCTGCCAGCACTCTAAGCCCACCTCCCTTTCAGCATTATGTAATCCATGATTAATTTTCTAACTAATAATACTACTTTTCCCACACCTGAAACCTTCCAGTCCTCTGTAAATGAAGCCCCAGTGGGTAGAAGGCACCACCAAGTCATGCCTACACCCCCATATGCCACACAGTTTCTAAATGCCACTCAAGGTGGTCCTGGGGGATCTTCCCTCAAATCCAGTCTGTTGGCCTTGTCAGAATCAAAAGCCCAGACACCTGTGCTCTTTCCCAGGTACTTCTGATATCAAAGAGTGCACCCATCATGACCAGTGGTGAAGAGAACCATCAAGGTCCCATGGAGAGCGGTATTAGCCACCTGTAGGAGCATGCCCATGTCAGACTGCCTACCAGCTGTCCAATTTGTCATGGCCTTACTACACCAAATTCCTTGCCCTAGACCCAAGGCAGTGTAAGCTGTGTTTCTGTAGGACTGCTGTTGAGCATAGTAAGGCTTCACTAGTGCCTACCACACCCGCAACATATAGTACACAAATATGTCTATACCTCTTGGAGGTAGGCAGGGCCTGGCAGGGAGCTGAGCCACCTGACCCTGCAGATGAAGGGCATTGAAACAGAAATTGCTCAGCTGGTGGTCTTGTCCATATCAGAGAGGGCTTGTTGAGGAAACATGGCTTCATGGAGGTGGCCTCCCACCTTCTATCTCTCTCTCCTAGAAGTCATAGTGCCCAGAAGGGATTGAGCCTGGGGGAGGCAGGAGGAGGTGGGGGAGCTGCTTGCTGGTGGCTGAAGGAAGAAGGGGTGAAGGGACTTGGCAGGGAGGTGCTAATTGGCAGGCTTGCCATGGACATGGAAGCAGGAAGTGCAGGTCTACTCAGGGTGACCCCAGTAGCTCAAGACTCGAAGCTCTACAAGCTGGTATGGGGCTGTGTCCTTGCCCTGTGGGAAGAGGAGAGTTGGGTCAGGAAGGCCTGAGATCCCTTGGTGGATGGTTGGCCCCCACAGCCCTTGTGCCCCAGGCTTCCTTCAAAGAGCAGTGGCTGAATTAAACCTCAAGCTTATCATTCAGCTTCCTATCAGACCCACTGGGACCTGGCTTGCACTGCAGCCACTTGCCAGGCCACAGTGTCCCCATGGCTACTAATCCATCCCTTGAGGTCACCAGCATGCCTGGGTCACTATTGTGGGACCAGCCCTCCATACCTGAAACTGAAAGTCTGAATGGCCTCCCCAGCATTATCATAAGTGAACTGCCCGAGGGCCACCCCCTCCACCCGGGAATCTTCATTGAGCCCCTGAACAGAAGGAAAAACAAGGGGACTGGAGGCATGGACAAATGGATGGCTAGGAGTGGGCTGTAGGAAAGGTCAAGCTTTTAGGACAAGAATACAAATTAGTCCATGGAGGGAAAAATGGGAGAGGTGGCAGGTGCAGAAGGAGGGTAGATAGCACAGGATATAATGGGGAGAGGAAAGAGGAGAAAACTCAATCCACCTTGATTTTCCCTTCCTTAATCCCTTCACCTTCTAGAGTCTCTCTCAGTAATTCAATAGACAGAGACTTTCCCCTCCAAGGCCTTGCCCTTCTTCTCAGCCTCTTCCCCAAAGCTGCTGAATGGCTTGGGACAAACCCCTTCAGCGTGTGAGCCTCACTTTCTTCATCTGTATTAGGATTTGGGTCCTGAAGCATCCCTCTGCCCCTGCATATTTCATCCTCTCTTCTGGCTCCATCTTTTCTCCCAAATCCTCCCTACATGGACGTTCCATCTCTGCCCTGACTAGCTGTCTGTGTAGGGAATGGCGGTCACCATCCCTGCCCAACTCACCCATGGGACACCTGGCCACAGAGGAAACTGGCTATAGTAAAGGGCCCTAAAGCTCATTGTAATCTTGGCTGTTCTTCTGCTGTGGTTGTCTCTTCCTGGCTCCTCTCTAAGAAGACGGGTAGGAGCAGAAGGGCCAGCCCCAATTCTCAATGTCCCATCTGTAAAATGGGCACATTCTTCCATTCCTCACCTTGAAATGCTGCTGTTAAAGAAAGGACTTTCTGCACTTCTGGAAAGGAGAGCTGCCAGGCTCAGGTACTCACCAAGATGACAAATTCCTTGGAGGTGTTGGTGATGTTGCTGATTGAGGACAGGGCTTTGGGCACGTGTTCCAATGTGATGGCAGTGAGATGGATGTCGGCAGACAAGCGAAACCGAAAAAATGTTGGGGGCCCTGGAATGCCCAGCTGTTGCCAGTGTAGACATTTGGCTGTGGGCAGAAGACAAATCACATGAAAAGTGGCAGCACATGGAACAGATGCGAATTCTGGGACCCCTCTACCTTAAGGGTCCAGGCCCCACAGAGGAGGGGGGGGAGAAGGCAGGCAGAGAGCCAAGCTAAGTGACCTTTGTTCAGCCCCACCTGGAGGAGGGATCTTAGGGTCTGGAAATGGTACCACAAGGTGATGCCAAACAGACTGATAACAGCTGCCCTGGTGCCATAGGTCTTTAAGCTATGGTACTGAGGATGCTGGCAGCTGAATGAGTGTATTAATAGGATTTAGTGAGGTTCGGATTCGCTCCTATAAATGACACTCTCCAATGCACCAGAAAATAATAGGAAATAGATAATTTATTTAGAAGAAGTAAAGCACAGATAGTTTGAATTTGCATAGAAAGCATAAATAATAAGAACAATCAATAATATAGCACCGATCAAGAGAGTCGGTAATGGAAGAGAATACATCACCAATTCAAGGGAACCTCCAAAGTCAATCAACGGCTGGGAGCCCCGTTGCAGCCTGTACAAACTTGAATTGTGTAAAGATTTTCCTGGGCGAAGCGTCCTTCCCACGGGTGAGGCTCAGTGGGCTTACAGGACGCAGTGTTTTTATATTGTTCTAAACAAAGAAGGCTTGGGGCCAAGAACCCCTTTTTGATTCTTGCGCTATTCATGGTTTGTCCAATACACATCTGACCTTAGCCACGCTCCCATCCGCCTGAGGCTTGGTATTTTGTTTTTTAATAACATCACGTCTCACAAGGAGAGGAGCCAACCCTCCATGTCAACGTGACCTAGGAATGGCTAGTTCCTGGAATGCTAGGCCAAGAACACTCAGGAGATATGGAACGGTCATGACCGAGATTTGAACTGAACCTATTTATTTGAGTGATCTTATTAATTTAAAGGGGAATTTCCAATTTCCATTTCACTTGGCCTTAAGATCATGAGAATAATAGGGTGAGGGGCAAAGGTGTGACATGAGTGTATATAGTGCGTATTTTGGTATACATATAACAATTGCATATACAAAGACATAAAAAGAACAAAGCAAGTAGTAGTATGGGGGTAGCTAAGGAATTAAAATACATAGTAGCAGTAGGAGATTTAAAAAGAAAATCATACCAATGATGATTAGTATCTGAGATCACTAAATGAGAAGCTTCGACTAGTCTTCCTGCGGCTATAAGAGTCTGTATTCGATGTTCATTTAACGCGCGTTGGTTGGACTCTAATAACTTTTTGATTTCAGTCGACTGATTCAAGATGTTCATAAGGGGATATAGAGATAGAGACACATGAGGTAGAGGCAAAGATTGGGGTACCCAAGCAAAATTTTTAACTAGGTTAGTGTCTGGTGGAAAGTAAAAATCATTTCCTTGCCAGCGTAGGAAAGATACATTGGATAAGCAACCAGAAAATGGAACAGTAGTAATATCTACAGATAACAAGTCAGAACGGTTATTAGAAGCTATACAGATGTATTGAGTAGATACTTCATATATCATAGAAAAGTTACTCACTGGGTATAAAGTTAGATCACACAAATTGGATGAATGTGAGAGAAGGCAGGGTTCCATCTGCCGAGTCATCATCCCACAAACAATCCCTCCATTAGTTACAACACAATCAGACAGAGTATGAGTTACATTATACCAATCTATATAGTTTCCATAGATATGAGGTAAAGCAAAGTATTTATGTAAGACAAAAGGTATTACATGAAATTGGCACATAACAGTCCAAGTTTTAACTTGGTAGAGTATAATAGTTCCAGCGCACCAAAGTGGAGTGCATCTAGCATTCTCAGGTTTTTGCTTTTTCCATACATCTGACAAGTCAAGTATATCGTTCCATATGTGAGAGTTACCTTCCTGTAGTAATCTTTGGGCATTTTCCTTCTGTATGAGGGTATATAAGTTTTGCAAGGAACATTTAGTCCAATTAAATAAAACACCAATGTTTTTCATAAGGTGTAAATTAACGAGGATGCTATTATTAAAGACTTGTAAAAATTGGCCTTGTATTGTAATGTATTTTGGTGTGGCAGGATCGTTGTGGGTAACCATTGGGCATTCACAGTCAAAGCTTGAGAAACATCTTGTCCAGCACTGCGCAGTCTGCTAGCCAAGGTCTCAAGGTCTATAGAATTAACTATACCCAAACCAGTTCCTGCACCACCAAGTAATGTATCATACCAAGCTCTTTTTTTCCTGACACAACTTTCTAAAGAGGGAAAAGTTACATTATAATGAAACACTATTTTGTGTTGCAAGATAGAGGTGTTAGTACATGAGCGGGGGACACGAATTATTCCAGGAGGTTTCGGAGTCACAGGTACAACCCATACTAATTGGTTTAGATATTCTTCATACAGCCCATTGGAGGTGTTACGACAATAAAAATATTTTCTGTCGTCCGCTTGTGATAGTGAGACAGTGTAGGTGGAGTTTACTTGTGTCCAATTATATGTTACAGATCTTAACCTTTTAGGAAAATATGGACTAGGTGGCCAACTTGTAAGGGTACAGGATATATTGGTACCGTTTGCTGCAGTTACAGTTAGATTAAAACTAGTTAAATTGACTCTCATTAGGGGAAATAGAGGGGCGTCCCAAACTTCTACGTTGAATGGGTATGACCAATTCATGATCTGGGTGTTGTTTTCACCACCGTAGATGGAATCAGTACGCGGTCCTTGCTGAGGATTTCCCATTGGAATACCTGGAGTCCATGCCATAGTTAGCGTATAGCAGGCAAACACTGTAAAACACTGTAAGATGCAAGAGCGCCAAGATGTCCTGCGGTGATATGGACCCATTTTCCTAATTGTGTTTCATTTTCCTCTCTGGGGGTGACCTTTAAAGCTTTTCCTTGAAGTTTGGATAATTCATCAGCACGGGCATTATACTCACGTTCCACAGAATCTTGATTCACATGGGCATCTACATGAAATACAGATACATTAGTACATTGACACCATTCCCATATTTGTTCCCATAATTCTTTTCCCCACACATCTTTGTCTCTAATTTTCCATTCGTGTTTCTTCCAAATTGGCATCCAAACTGCTAGGCCATTGGCTACGGCCCAGGAATCAGTATATATATATAACATTGGCCACCTTGTTCCTTTTGAATTACTTGATAGACAGCCACTAATTCGGCCCATTGGCTACTCTGGCCTTCACCAGAGCTTTCCAAAATAGTATTGCATGAAGGGTTATAGGCTACAGCTTTCCAACATCGCTTAGATCCTATATATTTAGCCGAGCCATCAGTAAACCAAGCATGCTTCTTCTGCTCGGGGGTTAGAGAATCATATCCATTATTCCAAGAAACAGGTGATTGATCATAAGACTTTGGTGGTATATCAATATCATTTGAATGTTTTGGTAATTCTAATACCTTTTCATGCAAGGTGGAAATACCCGATCTGCCTGTCTTGACTCTATTTTGCAAATACCATTTCCATTTAATAATTGATGATTCTTGGGCATGTCCTATTTTATGTGAGGCGGGGGTCCCCATAATCCAACTCATAATGGGTATGGCTGGCCTCAATACAACTTCATGGTTTAAAGTTAAATGTTCTGTCTCTACCAGGGCCCAATATGCAGCCAATAATTGTTGTTCAAAAGGAGTATAATTTTGGCCAGCAGGTGGCAGTTTCCGCGACCAAAATCCTAAAGGAACATTCCTGCCCTGTTGTTTTTGCCATAAACTCCAATCAGCATATCCATGCAAAACTGTAACTTGCAATTCCATCGGCCCTGGCTGTACAGGCCAAAGATCCAGGGCAGTTTGAATAGCTATTTTGGCTTCCTCAAAGGCTTTCGATTCTGTTTCCCCCCATTCAAATGCATACTTTTTCCGGGTAACTTTATACAATGGCTTCAAAATCTGACCTAAATGAGGAATGTGATTCCTCCATTAACCAAACAACCCAACGAACTTTTGAGCTTCTCTTTTGTCCCTAGGAGGTGAAAAATCTAATATTTTTTGCTTGGCCTTGGGGAGGATTTCTCTATGACCCTTATTCCAAATTATTCCTAAAAACTTCACACTTTGAGCTGGACCTTGAATTTTATCAGGATTAATCTCCCATCCCTTCTCCTTCATATGTTCTATTAGTTGAGTTAATCTTTTCTCTACCACCTCTTTATTCTCTGCCTGTATTAAAATATAGAGGTCAAACTCAAAAATTTTAGACAATCCTTGGGGTCTAGCCACACTCCTCCAGCTCCCCCATCACTTAATCTTACAAGCCAGGAGATTGCAGGCTCTCCTGATCGCTGTGAAAACCTACTAAGCAAATCAGTAATTTCTCTTTGGGAGTAATCTTCCGTGATTTCAGTCACCCGGGGTGGGTTAGCTCCCTCCTTTTCGGCTTTTCTCCTAACTATCGGCCGAGCTTCCCCATCCTTAACGTCCGGAATTTCCTCTATTACTTCCCCCCACCTATCATCATCTTCATCCCAAATATCACCTTCCCAAGTATCAGGGTCCCAATTCATATTTGCTGCGGCGATTACAGCATGCACTTTCCTTTTACTCACCCTTCAAATTTTCTACACACACTCCTCTCTCCTACATGCTTAAACTTCCTTGCCTTTCTTTCTAATGATTTAAAATCCCCTTAAAACCTGTACATATCTCATTCCTTTCTAATTCTGACCTAACACTTCAACAATCCTTCCCAACTTGCCCTCTACCAACCATATAACCTAAGTAATAAAGTATTCTTCTCTCTTTCCCTCTCCCATCCACGCACTGCTTTGAAGCTGCTGTTACCTGGGGAGGGAGAGGGGGAGAATGAAGGCAACTTTTCAGAGTCCTGCTGCAGCCTTTGGCTGTCTGGCTGCAAACAACCCAAAAGGGAGGGAAATGATGTACTGGTCGTATCCCCCCATTATCCCTGCTGGCAACCGGCCCATCCGTCGCACCCCAAACGAGAACCCCCAACACCCCCAATCCTCACTAGGTCCTGTACACTGTGACCAGGTTTTTGCGAGCGAGGAAAACGGAGGGTCCTCCCAACCGGGGACCTCTACCGGAGCCCGGGGCTCTTAAAGAAAGGCATTTATACAGCGAATCCTGTTCGTGACGCCAATTTTGTATTAATAGGATTTAGTGAGGTTCGGATTCGCTCCTATAAATGACACTCTCCAATGCACCAGAAAATAATAGGAAATAGATAATTTATTTAGAAGAAGCAAAGCACAGATAGTTTGAATTTGCATAGAAAGCATAAATAATAAGAACAATCAATAATATAGCACCGATCAAGAGAGTCGGTAATGGAAGAGAATACATCACCAATTCAAGGGAACCTCCAAAGTCAATCAACGGCTGGGAGCCCCGTTGCAGCCTGTACAAACTTGAATTGTGTAAAGATTTTCCCGGGCGAAGCGTCCTTCCCGCGGGTGAGGCTCAGTGGGCTTACAGGACGCAGTGTTTTTATATTGTTCTAAACAAAGAAGGCTTGGGGCCAAGAACCCCTTTTTGATTCTTGCGCTATTCATGGTTTGTCCAATACACATCTGACCTTAGCCACGCTCCCATCCGCCTGAGGCTTGGTATTTTGTTTTTTAATAACATCACGTCTCACAAGGAGAGGAGCCAACCCTCCATGTCAACGTGACCTAGGAATGGCTAGTTCCTGGAATGCTAGGCCAAGAACACTCAGGAGATATGGAACGGTCATGACCGAGATTTGAACTGAACCTATTTATTTGAGTGATCTTATTAATTTAAAGGGGAATTTCCAATTTCCATTTCAATGAGCTAAAGGGAGAGAAGGTGGAGAGGGGCACCAAAGGGCTGGCAGGACATAGAGATGGCTTAGGGCAGCCCTCAAGGCAAAGGGGCCCTGACAGGGCATCAGCCCTCCTAACTGTCCTGGCCCATAAAGGCATCCTGATTTGTCAGTTCCTCCTGTCTCATAGCAGCTATCCTGATTTTCCAGTCCCTCTTCTCCAAAGCCCTCTGGCTTTTTGCAAACTGCCTACCTGAGGACTCCAGGGCATAATCCACCAGTCCAATGCAATCTTCGCTGTAGAGTTTCAGGGCCTGCTGCATAATCTCCTGCACTTCCTAAAAGACAGGCACGTACTATTCGTGGACTGGGCCTCCCGCGAGCCTGGCTCAGCCCGTGTAGGGGACAGGCAAACATACTACCTGCTCACCCTGGGCTTCCCCATCCATCCTGGCAGGCTCCTCTCAGGGCAAACCCGAGAACTCAGGTAGAAGGACAGGCAGTGGGGCAAGGCTCACCTCCTCTGTCACCCCGGTGGTCACTCCTTCCTTCAGGAGGGTCTGCCTCAAGTCAGAAGCAACTTTGTGGGCACACTTGTCCTGCTCCTCTGCCACATGGCTCAGGATTCTTTGATCCAGGTCTCAAATCTGGGCCTATACCTCCTCTAGCTGCATAAGTCCGGCCTGAGTGCCCTTGTCCCCAGCAAAGTATTCCTGGATCAAAGCTGGGACCTGAGACTCCATCTAGAAGCCACCAGAAGAAAGAGATCAGCAGACACCTTAGAAACAGCAGGAGTGAAGAAGGAAGAGGGCCAGGCATGTCTAGAGACATTCTGAGAGCGCAGGGCCAGCACATGCCTGCCTAGTGCCAGAGAAGGGATGGTTGTAAAACAAATGACTGGCATTTTTCCAGTGCTTTTGAGTCTGCAAAAAGGATCTCACTGGACCTTCTGGGACCTGATATTTTCCCACTTGCCAGATGAGGAAAGTCCCTTCCATGTCACAAAATCCACCCAATAGGCCCAATCTTTGGGAAGCGCCCAGTGGAAACCTTAGATGGTTGCACCTCCCTGGGCAGATGTCCAGACAGTAGCAGCCCAGCTGAGATCAAGGCACATGTGTGGCTTAACCAGGGAAATGGAGGATTCACATCACTGCACTCGCCAGAGGTGTATTCCTTGGCCACTGCAGCCTGTCTCTGGCTCAAGGTCACCAGTCAGCTGGGGCCTCCAGGAAACCCATCTCCTTTGGCCTTTTGTCCTGGAATTCTTCTTGGGACAAACTAGACAGTGACCAAAGGAAAAATGAAGCTCCACCTTGGCATAGGCACTGGAGGATGAACTTAAACTGAACAAGTGTCACCTAAAGAAAAGCACCACCCAATGGAAAGGACAGAGCCAGAGAACTGGCTGCAAGTCTTCACTGATATTTGCTTCCTGAGGGACCTTGGGTATGTCATTTCCCTCCGGGGCCTCAGTAACCACTTCTGCTCTCTGAGGTCCCCACTAGCTCAGGTCAATACTATGCACATGCTAACCCTAGTGTTGTGGCTCTACTGACCCAACCCCACTGGGAAGCTCAGTTGTGGATTCTCTGTTCTAGTTTTCTAGCCCTATTTTCCTCCTCTTCTTTTTGCTAGTCAGTTTGGGGCCTTTCCCATGCCACTCAGGCACATTCTGAAGCACCGAGCTTTCCAGCTCTTCTAAAGAAAAAAGAAGACACAACAAGACTGAGGAAAACATCAACGCTACATGCTGGGGATTCTTGGCCTCCTATGGTTGGGTCTTCTGCCAGCTGAGGAGCATCTGAGTCTCCGCAAAAAAATGCTGGGCTCCAGATAGCTTCACCTTAAGTCCCAGCTAGACCTTTCAGAGACTGGGCTTCTCTTCTACCATCCCACCAAGAGGAGGCATCTGAGAAAGACCCAAGGTCAGCTGGGATTAGGCAAGAACCACTCTCCCATGGTGGTGAGGTCACTTTTTAGTCCCCTGAAGAAAGTTTCAAAGTCGACTCTTCAGTCACATGGAAAGTCTTATTCCTCCCTAGGCCTTCCATATATCACTAACATAGTTCAACAGTAAGAGAAAGAAGGAGAAATTCCATTTAAAATCACTGCAGACACTATAAAATAGTTCAGAGTCTACCTGCCAAAATAAACCCAGGAAGTATCTGAACCTAATTACAAAACACTTTTCACACAAATCAAATCCCATCTAAACAATTGGAAAAATAGGAGTTGTTCCTGGCTAAGGTGAGCTCAGTTAGTAAAAAAGACAACTCTGCCTAAATTGATCCCCTTCTTCAGTGTGATACCAAACGAACTACCAACAATCATTTTCACAGAGCTAGAGAAAAACAATAAGAAAATTAATGTGGAAGAAGAAAAGGTGCAGAATATCAAGGGAACTAATGAAAAGAAATGAAAGGGAAGGTGGCCTAGCTCTACCAGATGTTCAATTGTATCATAAAGGCAAGCTGAAAACTATTTGGTACTGGCTAAGAAGCAGAGTGGAGGAATCAGTGAATAGTTTAGGTAGGTAAGACACAGCAGTCAATGACTATGCTAATCAACTATTTGAGAAATCCAAAGACTCCAGCATTAGGGATAAGAAATCCCTATTTAACAAAACTTGCTGCAAAAACTGGAATAGAATATGGCAGAAACTGGCAGAGACCACCATCTTACATCCTGTACCAAGATAAAGTCAAAATGTCTACAGGATTTAGATACAAATAATGAGACTACAAACAAATAAGGAAAGCAAGGAATAGTTTACCTTTCAGATCTATGGAGAAGGGAATAATTTGTGACCAAAGAAGACATAGAGAATATTATGCAATGCAAAATGGATCATTTGTTTTGCATTTAGTAGAAAAGTGTTTTTTGTACAAACAAAGCCAATGCATCAAAGATGAGAGGGAAGCAGAAAACTAGGAAAGAATTTTGACAATAAGAGTCTCTGATAAAGGCCCCATTTCTAAAACATAAAGAGAACGGGGTCAAAATGATAAGAAGAGAAGTCATTCCTCAACTGATGAATGGTCAAAGGATATAAACAGGCACTTCTTAGAAATTAAATCTATCTAGATTAATATAAAAAATGTTCTAATCACTATTGACTAGAAAAAATGGAAGTCAACAGGGTTTTTATGTTCAACATCACACTTATTACATGGGGTAAGTGACAAAACACCAAATTGTCAATGTTGGAGAAGTTGTGGGAAAATTGGAACACCAATGCATTGTTGGTGGAGCTCTGAACTGATCCAACCATTCTGGAGAGCAATTTGGAAGTATGCCCAAAAGGCTATAAAATCGTGCATACCCTTTCATCCAGAAATACACTTCTAGGTCTGTAGCCCAAAGAGATCATAAAAATGGGAAAGGACCCACATGTACAAAAATTTATAGGCAGCTCTTGTTGGGGGGCAAAGAATTGGAAATTGAGGGATGTCCATCAATTGGGGAATGGCTGAACAACTTGTGGAATGTGAATGTGATGGAATACTATTGTGCTATAAGAAATGATGAGCAGGTGTGCACTTCAGAAAAACCTGGAAAGACTCACATGAAACTGATGCTGAGGGAAATGAGTGGAACCAGGAAAACATTGTACACAGTAACAGCCACACCGTGTGATAACTGACTTTGATAGACTTGGCTCTTCACAGCAATGGAAGGATCTAAGACAACTCCAAAAGACTCAGAGTGGAAAATGCTATCCACATACAGAGAAAGAACAATGAAGTCTAAATGTAGATGGAAGCATACTATTTGATCTCCTTTTACTTTGTTGTTTTCTTTATTGCTTCATTCTCACGTTTCCTCCCTTTAGTTCTAATTGTACTTGACATCATCACTAATGGGAATATGCTTAATATGAATGTATAAGTAGAGCCTAGATCAGATTGCACACCATCTTGGGAGGAGTGGAGAGGGAGGGGAGACAATTTAAAACTTAAAATCTTATGGAAGTGAATCTTGAAAACTATCAATTAATGATTTACAGGAGGAGGAGGAGGAGGAGGAGGAGGAGAAGAAGAAGAAGAGAAGAAGAAGAAGAAAGAAGAAGAAGTAATGCTCCAAAATGTGACACAAATTAAATTCTGTGGAGCTTATGTAAATAAAAAAAATTAAAAATAAAAAGTATTTTAAATAAAAATGGTGGAACACAGAGCCAAGAGACTTACAAGGAAAGCTGACACCAATCCTACTGGGAAGTAACAAAAATGACTTCCTGATTTCCCCCATCAGATGTCTGTGGTGTTTTCTCCAGTAGAGAAACAGTCAAAGGGTATAAACAGGCATTTTTCCAAAGAAGAAATACAAGGGATCAACAACCAAATGAAAAAAAAGTGTTCAGAATCACAAATAAATAGAGAAATAATAAAGAAGGCAGCTCTAAGGTTCTACCACTTACATGTCAGGTTGGCAAAGAGGATAATCAACAAAACAACCTATTTTGGGGCTTCCAGGAGGCAAGATGGCAGACTAAAAATGTAGTTGCTCTCACCCTTCCCTATCAACCTTTGACAACCCAGAAAAAATCCTGCAAAAGATGACCCAGAAGAAAGATGGGAAGCAGCAGTGCAGTAGCTCAGGTAGCTTGAGGGATTAATAGGAAAGGCCTCTCTTGCCATAAGGGAAGGGGAGTAGTACAAAATGGGAGGTGCCACAGCCAGCCAACGGAAAGCCCCACTTTAGTACAGGAGGAAGAGATCCTGGCGCTTTGTCATTCTTCAGCAAACAGTTCTCCCAGTGCCTCAGCAAAAATAAGGGAAGCAGTACTACAAAGGGCCCCAGAGGATAACACCCTGCAGCATTCATCTGAAAAGAGCTGAAGAAAGCAACCTAGAGTTGCCCTAAATTTCCAGCCTTGCTGAATCCAGCCCAACATGATGTAAGCTGCCAGAACCCTACTGCCTACAATTATCAACATAAGAAGCCCTAGCACACAAAGCCAGTGACCAAGACCTAGACTCCCAACACAAGAAGCTTGGGGCGGTGCCCTCTGCTCCCCAGCAGGAGATCTCAATTTCTTTCAAGGCCATGGAATAAAGAAACATTATGAGTAAAAAGAAATGTACCATAGATTCATATTATAACAACAGTGAAGATCAAGACAGAAATTCTGAAGAGGACAATACTGTCAACAAACCCACATCTGCAACATGAAAAGGAAATATGAACTGATCTGAAGCCCAAAAAGCCTTCTTAGAAGAGGTCAGGAAGGATTTTAAAAGTCAAATGAGAGAGGTAGAAGTGTCCTTAAAAAATACAATTGACCAATTAGAAAAAAGAACTACACTGAGGAAAACAAGTCCCTAAAAACCACAATTGGCCAACTGCAAAAAAAAAAAATTACACTCAGGAAAACAGATTCCTTAAAAATACAGTTGGCCAATTGGAGAAGGAAGTACAAGAACTAACAGAAGAAAGCAATCAGTTAAAAATTAGAATTGAACAAATGGAAACTAATGACTCCATGAGAGAGCAAGAATCAGTGAAACAGAAACAAAATAATGAAAAAATAGATGAAAATGTAAAGTAAATCATGGTTAAACAATTGACCTGGAAAATCAATCCAGGAGAGACAATTTAAAAATT